CCAGAACATTTGGGCTGGCTGAATCTAAAGCTGAAAGAAAGATTTCACTGAACTTTTCAGAAAAAGGGGGACTCTGAATCTACCCTTTGTGTTAAATTAGGCCACTTGTTATGTTTAACCTTATTATCTGCAGAAATGTTTATACACTGGGGTTCTACCAAAGGAAATGTTTTCAGTCTATAGTGTTGCTATTTTCAATCCAATTTAGTTCCATAAAGTCTGCATAGAAGGAACTTGCACATGCACAAAACTGATGAAGCAATGAAATGCAGGCTATGTGGCTTTCAGATTGCAAAACTGATGCACGGTATCCCACACTGGGTCTGGTCCATAGTTGGGCCCATTACAAATAATGATTATTTTCTTCTCAGCTAACCCAATGAAAATAGGAGCTGCATATATCAGTGCCTTATCACTACACCAATTATCTGAAACGGCATTGTTTTCCCTCAGCTGAATAAAAAGTATACAGCATTCAGCATATTTATTGCGTGACTCATTACCTACTGAGACTTGAAAGCTTAATAAGCAAACGAATACACTTAATTAGTCAAATCGCACAATGCCAAAACACACCGTTATGGAACAAATGCCTCACAAACCTGCTGGATTTAAACAGTATATTACTCACAGTACAAGGCAGAGGAATTCATTCACAGCTATCAAAGCATAGGGCTTATACATGCGGTGAAAATCTTGCATTTTTATCAGTCTCCTTCCATGCTTTAGAACCTGAGGTACATAGGTCACCTTCAAAACAGGGAGCAGAATAATAGAGATTCTCCACTCAGATCTCCTAGAAACCTTTATTATTATTTTTAGGTTTTCTTTTTCTAGGATTGAAAATCTCTGCCCAATGATAACTTCAAGGTAAAAATGCTATATGTGCTTCTTGACTTTAATACCAACCAGACACCACTTATGGTCTTCTTTAAAACACCGGCTTTCAGTTTCTCAGTGAGAAGCCCTTTAACAACTGCATTCTAAAGCCAGGTGCATCATTTCAAGACCCCTAGTGTCATCCCTTCCTTCCCTCTGAAGGACAAGGAAGAAGGTTGAGGAGGAAGAAGGTTGAGAAGAAGGAAAAGAGTGAATAGTGTTGGGACACTTCACCAAGTCTCTTCTTATGTTCAGTGATATAAGAGGAGAAAAGCTGACTTGCTTTGTCTGTTTCCAAGTCTGTCCTGGGTCAAACTAACAGTACACACAACACAGTAAGGTGGGCAAGAAGAGCAGTAGAGGAACAAAATAGAATATTTCGTGCTCTGACATCACGAGCATCCTATTGAGTTTTATATATTTTGTGTTTAGGTTTTATAAGGCAACCTGTTAATGCAAGAAGCAAACGGATGGAATAAAGGTTTTGAAATGGCAGCTGTCCTTTTTTTGCGGAATCAGAGAAAAATAGCTGATGTATCTTCAGCTAAAATCAAATTTATCTTTACATCTATACAAATCATGGAAATCAGCACACTCCAGATGTTATGGAAATATACAGTGACTCTCGGCACTTCTAGGTACCATAGCCAATAATAAGTCTAGGAATTGTGTAACACAGCATAATCTGGAGTGCCACAAACTGCCTCCCACCTCCAAAGTATGGTTGGTTTCAAAAAGGAAACCAACCATAGAGAGCAAACTATAACTAACCTAGAATCTGCAAATATAGGTATGGTTTTAGCAGATCATCACATTGCACCAAATTGTATCTTTCTAAATGGAATTTAGGTCCAGAAGGAACAAATATGAAACTCCAGAGCAGGCAGAGGCAATGGGGTCTGGTAGCAAGCTACTCTGACATACCTGTTAGGAAAATGGTAAATTGTTGTGAAGAGTTCATTTAAATAAGTTTTGTGCTGATTTTTAACAGCATAAGTTAGATAGGCAACTTTCCCAGCACTATGTACAGATGCTAGTTAAAGTCATTCTAAGTGCATAAAAATGCATTTGTTTGTTGCCAAGTAACTGACTGGATGCATAGAGATTGTGCCATCATTAGTGGTTTTAGATGCATCCATTATTGGGTATGTGTCCTACCTCAAACATAGGCTGAGTAACTTCCTGTGTTTTCCCCATATTTTTGCTATGTTTTAACCATGAAAAGAAGTCTATTAAAAAGAAAGATATAAAGACATTTCTTTTCATTAGTATTCCTAAGAATTTTCTGTTTGGATGTGTCACAGAAAGACAGGAGACGTTATTCTCTCATATCCTACTGTTTTAGAAGTTCAGTATTCTTCATGTGCAGCTACTTGCACAGTTACAAGTGGTGACATAGGAACCCATGCACATGGAATGAACTACCTAGACTTATGATCAATTACTCATTTCAGTAATTATATGTGTCTGCTCACATATTTACCTTTAGTTTATGATTGCTAAAAGTTACGTGAGTGGGCAGCTATCAACAGTTGGGAGAATGTGAACCTAATGAAATTCATGATTCCACGTAACTATGAAAAACTATGAAAATAGGAAGCCTATCATGGCTTGAAGCCAGAACCATCCATATGCTCTTATCTGATATTTACTTACATCAGATCCTTCTATATCCATAGGCATGAATTTGAGCAATTCATATTGTATATTAGATTATGCAAACAAGCACATTCATTATATATATTTGACTGCATATGCCTCTCATAGTTTGTTCACCTGCCCTTTAGAAATGATAATTATATAACTTGCCAAAGTCCATAAAAGAGTCTTTGCAAAGTGTAAGTTTTTAAAAGGTACATGTAACACCTCCTGTTCCCATCTGCCATCCTCACCCCACCAGTTCCACTGCCCTTTAAAACAGTCTCCCCTAAATATGTCTTACTCTTTCATTTGTTAGTCCCAAACTACCTGATCCTGTTAAAGTAGGGATAGACAAGCTTTTATCTCCTAAATGCCTAATTATTTCAGGGATAATTTGGGAAAGGAGTAACATTGAAATAAACAGAGTCAAGCAGCTCATATATTTCTCTTCCAAGCAGCTAAGAGGTTTGATCTGATTATTTGCAACATTTTTAAGCTGAGGTCTACTTGAAGCATGAAAGCTGATATGCTTTTGGTGTGTTCCACGCTGACTTGATTGCAACTTCCCTCACCCACATCTGAGTATTAATATAATCTACAAAGTTTTTTTTAATAAATTGTTTCTTCCACGACATGCACAAGTCTTCATTTTGATATGCCATCTATGATGCCTGTCATGTATGTTCCTGTCTGCTGTGTGAATCCAAAAGGTTCAGCATAGAGTGAACTTCATATCTAGATGTTGCAGATATTAAAACAGGCTCTCAATTATTTATCTAGAACTCAGGAAGCCATTTTATAACCAATAAATTCATTTAACTCAGTAATATCTACATTGACTAGCAAAGACTTTCTAGGTTTGGGGACTGGTAATCTATCTCAGACCCATCTGGAGATACCAAAATTAAGCTGGATTTTATAGAAATACAGATATCCTATGGTGCTAGGCTGTTCACACCCGATCCATAAAACTACATTATGTTTCAAGAAAAAAACATTAAGCTTCTTTGTCCCAAAGGTGGGTTTTTTGCAAGAGGCAACTGAACTTTCTTGTTTTATTTGAAGACGATTCGCTTCTCATCCAAGAATGAGAATGGATGAGAAGCGAAACGTCTTCACAGAAAACAAAGAAGTCCTGTTGCCTCTTGAAAAAAGCACCTTTAAGACAATCATGACCTGGATGACTGAGATTCTCCATAGACATTAAGCTTCTTTGTAAGGTTAGATGTTAAAAACAAAATGAAATGGTAAAAGAAACAGTGACATGTTGCCTCTAAGACAAGAGTATATCTACTCTAAGCTGTTTCATGACTTTGTACCAAATACATTGCTAATTACTTTTGCCCTCTGTGTTTCATTTTGTGTTCTGGCTTGTTTAAGAATGCAATTTCAGATTTGTTTTTAATCAGAAAATGCTTTGTTAAGCAATCATTGATTTTCCCCATGCCTATGTACATAAAATGCAATGTTTTTACTCTAGGATCCCATCTTCCAACCTTGCTATTTTTCCTCCCTCCACTTTGCTGGGTTTTACAATAGTGCCAGATATGTGTCTAAGAATAAAATACACTAAAGTACAATGCAAAATGACATTAAAAATAAAATGGAAATGGAAAAACAGATTTGATATTTGAATAAAAAATACATTTGGTATCTCATAATCAAAGATGTTATCTCCCAAGGATTCATGAAGACTAAAGAAAGAAGTAGACAAGAACTACTCAATTCCATTAGAAGTCATACAGCTTAAAGCCAGCCTTCTACAACCAGGTACTTCATGATGTGAAGGATAGCATACAATTTCCAGAATTCCCAAGCAGAAAGAAGTTGGAAATTGTGAGGGTTATTTGAACTTCTGAAGGGCAAGCAAGATAAAATTTTGCTAACTTAACAGCTCAAGATGAAACAAAAAATTGTAAGTGTAAGTGGTTTAGGAATGCCTTAGCCATGGATTGGTTCTTCTTCTTTTGAATAAGATATAGGTTATTATAGGTATTGTTCCCATGAGCAGAGCCATCACATGTGTTTGGGGGTGGGGGTGGGGTTGTCATGTGGCCATCACAAACCAAGGCTTTTATTCCATAAGCTTAAATTATAATAATTTAAACTTTACAATGCAGTGAGGGAGAAGGCAACTGCTGCTTCCCCTACCCTTTTTTTCCTTTAGTCCTTACCTTCTTGCTTGCCAGACCCAGTGCAAAAAGAAGTCAAACAAGGGCAAAAACAAAATGGGAGGAAAAGGTATAACTTTTAGGTTCACTATTGCCTGGGGCAGGTTTTAGAAATATAGCTTGGGTCTCTACCAATCAACTCTATTACAGACCAAGAAAGTGCAGAGAGGTCAACTTTCAAAAGTAGCTAGCATTGCCATTGTTTGCCAGTTATAGCCAACTGCAAAACTTGCCCCGTATACTGTACATTATTTAATATTTCACAGATTTCCCTCCATTCACCAACACAGATCTTGGAATCTTTCATACCTTTCCGGATGCTACCATCAGCAGCACAAGAGAAATCTCCAGTGCTCAGGAGAAAACAGGTTGCTGCTTTCTTGTTTTTGTCCCTGGTACTTGAGCCCCTCATGAGCTGCTTCTCCTCTTGGGGTGAAGAAAGAGGTTGATCTTCATCTGACAGAACCACATTGGCATCTCCGTTCTGCTTGGTGTCTTAGAAGGAGAAAGAAAGAAAGAAAGAAAGAAAGAAAGAAAGAAAGAAAGAAAGA